TTGCGTCCTATATGGCTTAAAATACAGTTAGAGGTTGGTTTTTAGCTAATTCGGGATTTAACGCTTATTTCTAAAACCGAAAGGTACCATTTAGTCAAGTGTAAAGTCAATTAGCTACGAAATAAGTACAAGAAGGCGTTCCTTTGTGCGTGTTTTCTATAAGATATATTCCAATTCATAAGATCATCGAAAATTACTGCAACATATTCATACTACTTAAGTAGCCGTTCTTTATCGAATGCAGACTTTACAAGTGGCCTAAATGAAGCTCATTAAGTAGTCAACGTCTTCGTATGACTAAAATAATTACGATTTATGCTTGATATGCGCGATATTAAAAGCCTATCCGAATTATTTTTTCTAAGCGAAAACAATTTTTAGACCTTCGTTTAACATTTTGGGAGATAGCCCGGCTACTGTGCTTTTCATAAGAACCGGGAAGCATATGCGTCCCGTATGTTGACTGGAAAATTGTAAATTGGAAGGTGGCAACCGCGTAGTGAGATGAGTGTCAGTCCTTTAATGCATTTTATCCACCTTATAAGCAAGCCAGGTCCGTCTTCTGACCAAGAGGTCGTTTGTTCAAGCGCAATGTAGTTAAATTCCGTCTATTTGCGGTTCCTTATTCCTGAGGAGCATATCTGAATTCTACCCTGTTTATTTACATTTTATTTTCGTGACAAAATGCATTAAAAGGGCAGTTATGAGCGTTTTTGGAGGATTCTCAAGTGTCGGCGAACTACAACGCTTTGCTGGCAGCTATGGCGTCGACTTTAAAAGGTGCTGGGTCGTTTTGAACTGTTGCATCGATTTCTGATTCCGTAAAATTCTGGTTTAATGCATATTTTTTATCTTAGAGTTTTTGTCTGTTACAGTCATTGCTTAAATGTTTAAGATCACCTAGTCGAACATCTGTAACTAGGCAGATGACAAAAGGCACCAACCGACGCTACATGATGCCTGGCTGCCTTTTCAAAACAAGTGCGGCAAATTCCGCGTCAAGCGGCCTCACATGGCATATACCTTCCAATTTACTAAGAAATTGACATCCTAAGTAAATTTATTCAGCACCATAAAAAGCTCTGTGGGAGTGAAACAAATCGATTGCGTATAGCTTTCATATTGATTTCCCAGGTCGTCGTAAGTACAAAAATAATTAACTGTTCAATCGTGCCTAACAAAGAAATCTATGATTGACCGAATCTTGCGCCGATACGCGTCCGGTTAGCATGGGCTGCGCTCTTTTCCACTTGACCTTGGGACATTTGTATGTGACACCTAAATCTATATGCCTACTGATGCTTGCCTCACCGGAATCAATTGCGTACTCACGGCCTCACTTTTTTGGGTTGACGCCAACGATGCGGAT